AATCTGGAATGCTTATTCAGCAACTTGTCTATTTTCTGTATTCTCTTTCATCTGAATGATAAAAGTAATCTGTGGTGAACTATGGTGTAAGTTAATTGTGAGGAATTTCATGTGCTTGCGAAAGAAGTAAAAGCAGATCTGTTTGCAGTACCACACAGAGTTTTGTAGTAATATTTTCAAAACTGGAGTAAATAAAGAATAATAGCTAACACAAGAGGCTTCGGTTGCCACTAGGGAGGTAATTGAAATTTATTCTGAGGGGACAAAGCTACACTATGTACCTAATTAAAGAAAATGTGCCAGTCCTTCAGAGACTGGATAATAATTTTCATTGTTATGTTTTAGCTCATAAAGTTCTAGAAATGAAAAATTTATGGTTATGAAGTTTTGGATAGATTCTAGGCCTCATAGCTGGTGTAATGATCATATCAACCACAGTCAGGTGCAGCGTATGGTGGCATGTTGCAGTTTTCTATTTTGCTTTGTCTGTGCACAGCTGCTCCACCAGGAATGCTCTAAAGCTGATCATTTTATTGTGTGGTGCATGAAATGAGATGAGAAAGAACTGATGTTGACATACATCATCAGAGTGGAATAAATTAAAAATAAAAGAGATTACCTTTGTTATATGACAGAAAAGTTATACACGTTTCCACAGGAGAAATGTTAATGAGTTAACTTTCTATTTCCCTATACAAAAATAATATCTCTGGATTCTTTTGATTGCATTCCTTTTCCTTGAGCATCTTTTCCATCTCTCCCAGATTGTCTGCTGACCAATTCTTTGGAAGCCTGCTCCACTTTGACCCTGTCTCATTACTGTCTGGTGATTAAACCTTCCTTTCTAGGAGCAGTAATGTTTCCCATCCACCCCTTCATTCTTCTCCACAGAGTTAGCTTTAGGCACTTGTAAATTGAGTTCAGTAGCATTCTGGCTATGATGGTACGCAAAATTCTGGTTACAGTTTGATGAGGAGGGTGGTGTCTTTCAACTAGTTGGTTTCTCTTCATTCCATTTTGTTCTGCAGTGTGTCTGAGGGAGTCCCTTTCAACTGAATGTGCAACCTCCTGAAAATCTGAATTGCTCTGTTACATGTCAGTATGTTTTAAATGATGTTAGGTAGCTCTAACTGATAGTCAGGTAATTTGATTTATAATAAGGATACAAACTTTAGTCCCTTGTGAATTATTCCATCTTTTTAAAGTACCTCTCCCCTATTACATTTATTTCAGATACCTGGTTCCTCAGTCATGGTGGGTGTCTAGTTTCTCTGGCAAGTGCATTGTATTTTTATAGACCCATGAATATGGGATTGCTGTGGCTTGTAACTGGCCGCGGGCTTTGTGTTTAGCTGACAGCACAGTCCTCGTTACCGATCTGGCTTTGGCTGGCTGGACTTGTCTTAGCCTGCCTGGAGATTTGTTCTGACTTCTAAAAGCATTTATCTAATGATAAAATAATAAATTATATCTACTTTATTTTAACTCTTGCTTAGCTTTGCACAGTTGTGTGGTGTAACCCACTTTGGTATATATGCTTTGTATTCAATAGATAGTTATAACATGTAGTTACTCTGCGTAGGGGTAGCTATCTATAACCCTAGACTAAAATGGAACATGGAAGAGTAAAGACATGTGACCATGACTGAGGCCGTGAAAGTACTGGCATGGGGTGATACTAGAGGCCCCAGAACAGTTCACAGGTAGCCTATTACTGGTCAGCAAATAGTGTGACTTTGAAAGCAGAATACAACTAGTTTTATGGGAAGCAAAGAGAACAAAGAACAGATATGTAGCGTGTATAAAACACATCATATATGATGAATGAAGATGTAATGCAGACTTGCAGACCAGTGAAGAAATAACAAGGTGTAAAGCACATTAACAAACATAAAAATTACTCCAAGGGGAGCCTCGAGAGAGAGGAGGAAGAAACAGGCAACATCCTACTCCTCACGGCAAAGGACTTGGGATGCTGATAACTCGGTCACCAAACCCCTCCTTCCCACGTTGAAACCATTGACCTTAAGACCCCTGGGGGGCAGTGGAAGGGTGTGCAAGGAGTAAATGCTGGAAAGATTGTGTATGTATATGTCATTTTAACAGTAGTTTGTTTGGAGTGTGTTAGTATCATTGTAAACGGACTAATAATAACTCTTTGATTAAACTGTTACAACTTTTGTTAGGACTAAAAATAAGGTACTGGCTTTTCATCTACACTGTTCCTTTTGCCCATCACAAGATCCTGAACGTAACAAATCAGTGGGAATTCAAGCAATCTGTTCTGTAACTGGGGCATCACACCTCAGTGACAGGACGCATCTTCTGATTTTAGGTCCTTAGTGCAGAGGGGCCTAGTTGCCTTGCAAGATTAATGGAGCTTTGAGAGAGCACATCAGAACACTTAACTGGGGATTGCCTTCTTTTCATTGATTACCTAAAGTCCATATGCTCCTAACTTTAGCATTTTTACCCGGTTTACCAGATCTTATGCTTCCATTCTTGTCAATTCCTTTCTCATTTGGCAGCTGGATACTCAGTGGCAAGATTGTTAGCTTGAAACCTTGGTTTTCAGAGGTTCTTCAGACTTCCTTCCCGGTGCCTCTTTGCTCTGTTTCCATTCTGGTTTAATTTCACTCTTTCATGTTTACACTGTATAACATTTTTAAGTAACTTTGCTATGTTTAATCCCATGTTCTTCATTATTCTGAAGAGTTGGGGAATGCATGCCATTTATATTGCAAAGTTGTATTTATACTATAGGCAAAATGGATAAACCATGTTTCAAGCATGTTCACTGAGAGATTTTCGTGATGCTTTTGGATATAAAAAGATGACTTGGCATTTTCTAACTATGAATGCTGTGAAATACAGAGCTTTAATACTTTTCTTGCTTTGCATGAGCAAGTACTTCAAATCCTTGATAGGCAGCTTATTTCTCAAATTAAAACTATTTTGCCATTGATGAGGGTTTTTGACATTTATCTCATTTTTGAGCTAAATAAAATTCTTCAAGGAAAATTTGTGTACAAATTGTGAAATTTGTACACAAAGAAAACTGTAGTACTAGTTGGATTTGAGGTCTTCAGGTTTTTGTTTAAAAAACACAGTAACTTTACTCAGCAGCAGGCGGTGTACAGTATCTGATTAACACTGCTGCTGTTGATGTGACCTGGAACAATGGCAAGTGATTTTTAAGTTTCCAAGGAAACAGGGCAATAAGGGCATATGGGGGTATGAATATACATATGTATGTATAACAATTTCTTAAAATATAAAAGAAACAAGATTGGAGGTGGGCTAAATCCATATTTGTAAGTGAGCTATATTCAGCCTAACTCTTCCTATCCAGCAATGAAAAACTTTTCACCTGCTCTAAGAGAGCCTGAATTTTCCATGTATGACTTCTTACCAACCTCCTGTACCATCAGCTGGCCACAGTGTCGTTTGTTTTCTCATCTACACCAGTAATAACTGTCACTACTTCCTAAAAGTTAACTGGATAACCACAGAACAAATTCCCATTACCAAAATAATTAATGTCCATGGCATTAAATACAGTCCTTAGAATAGAAAAGACTTCACTGACTGGTTTTACTTGTAAGATTTGTTTATGTACTCAGTTGGACATACGTAGATAAGCTGGTTTTCCAAAGAGAGTGGAAGCCTGGTCAGAGTATCATGTTCTCTGGATTTGCCAAAATAATAAAATGTAAATGTAGGTAAGAGGTAAAAGATAAAAGTTGTCATGCTAATTAGATTTCTGATCTCTAGTTCAGTAGCTTGGACTGGCAGTACTTAGTATAGATTTTTCAAGCTCTGATTTAAGAACCATCAAACTTCAAGTAAATTCCTTCAGTTAAATAGTGATGTGGGTGTGTGGGACATTTCTTCCAAAGCCCAAAGGACTGATGACCTTGTTGTTCAGTCTGTGTGTACATGTTATTTACTTAAGCTTAATCTGAAGTTAGTTACAACTCTTCCGAGTTGTCTGTTTATCACCAGTTGTTCAGTGTGTATGAAGAGTGTGCTCTTATCTTCTCCTTGATCTGTATGTTGGCACGTGATACGCTGTAGTAATGTTCAAGGTCAGGGAAGATTAATCTTTACAAGCTCTATCATCCTGACACTTACCTCAGTGATTATATTTGAAATAACCAAAAGGCATGCCTGTTGTTTTTGTTAATCTCAGCTGAAATGAAATATACTGTTTGCAATTTCTTTGTGTACTGCAGATATAGTAGATGAAGTTATTCTGCCTTGGTTCTAGAGGAATAAATATTGGAAAATGATTATATGGCCACCCTTGCATTTTGCACGTCTTCTAGCAAACATAGGAAAGAGCATGATTGATTAAATCTGATGAATACTGAAGTTGTCATTTCAGTCATTATGAAATTATTGTGCCTAAGTAAAAAATACTGATTATGCTATATTGGTTTATTAGATTTTATTTCTTCAGATTTTGCATTAATAAATTGTATAACTGTATCAAATTAAGTGATGCACCATAATGAGACTTCCGCGTTTCTCCCATGGATAGGGACCGTTGTGTTTGCACCTTTTCTTGCATACCAGTGAAGGCAGCATTGTGTTGAAGGAAGTGAAAAATTGAAATGGTAGCAAGTATTACTGACTGACTTTTCCCTAAATTGAACTTTTTTCTAGTTCTTTTTCCAGTTAAGGCCTCAATCCATCCCTATTGAGATAATATTGATCCGATGTGTCATCTTAGTTCAGTTACACATCGGTAGTAATTTGCTACTGCTTTTTCATGGGTAGTTGTTTCCAAGTCTTTATTGATTTCTGGATGTTGGTACCCTTCCTAAACACATAATAAATTTTAGGTGGGCTGGCATGGTATTATTGAACTCCCTCTGAATTTTCTGAGTTCTCGGGAATGCATGTATACTTGCAAATATATATAATTTTTAAGAAGTAGTGATGACCATAATCTGTTTGAATATCTTATTTTTCCTCGTTTTTCTCTTCATTTTCAGGTCTGGCAGTTTCTCTTCAGTTGCTTCATGGAGACATAGAACAAATTAGGAGAGAGTATACATCCATGTTTACCCATGGAGTATCCATAACAAGGAAACTAGGTTTTTCCAATATTATAATGCCTGGTAAGTTAAAAAGAAAAAACTCCCAGTAAGCAGCAAAAGAAAGAACTAATGAGAAATTACTTAGTTTTCAGCTGCTTTCCAAATAAATACTGTATTCTAAAACTTCTTAACCTTTTCCAGAGACTTTTATGCTAGGTTTTTTTCAGATAGTTAGAAGAAAACTGTGTCCCAGTGGCCCCATTGCATTATACATTGTATAGTTACCACGTCACTGTCAAAAGGGCACACAGCCATAGCAGCCTTTTTTGAGAGATGGAATCCCACTTTATACGCGTGAAGATGACTGAATGCAAGACTGCTGAGCTCTATGCAGAGAAAAGAGATAACCAGCAGAACATTAATGTCCTTGGGAGCTTGTAGCTTTCTAAATAAGGATTCACAGAATTTCACTGACACTGTACAGCTTCTGGTTTCGTGATGTTTGTGTGTCAAATACTGGAATTGAGGATACTGGAAATGGATAATAATAAGGATGTGGAGACTTTATTTTGATTATATCGTATGACATAATATGCAAACACTTAAACAGATGCTAAGGAAGGTAGATTGTGTCAATATGACTGTGAAGAAGAAAATACAGGAAGAAGATCACAGTAATATCTATACTTCCATTCCTGAAATGACATTTTAAAAAAGTTTAATGGGTTGCTGGAAATTATAAGGCAAATGTCTCTTTAAAGGAAAGGCATACTTGCAAGCAGACTAGTTTGGCATGATCATGGTGTTATGTTGTTGCTGAGAAATGTTGCAGGGAGGAGCAAACATCTTAGTTTCAGCTGAGTCCACACACAGTGCCTTGACTCTCAAATGTAAATCATCGTCATGACTTGCAGATTTTTAAGAGAGACTACCTTCTTCTTATAAAGATCTGTCTTTGCATTCCTATGCACCTAAATCAGAAATAAACTAAGGTTCTGAGGCAAGAATAAACAAACTTCAGTACTTCACTTAAATAGGCATTTAAAACTCAGTAATGAGACTCAGCTTTAGCCCTGGGTATGTATTTCTCTTGAACTTCTGCCTGAAACTTGACAACTGAGAATTCACGCTTGTGTTCTTACTGCCAATTAAACATCTGTCCTTCTGTGTCCTTGATCAGTACTACTAATCACTGAAAACATGCACAGAACACAAGTTAATAAAGCAGTTTTAGCATTACTATGAAAATACTCCGCTGGTTTGACTGCAATATTTAGAACAATAAAATGCATGAGTCAGGTGCCATTTAATTTGAAGGTAGATCATATATGTGTATGTTTAATGGAAGCATTCATTTGAAATCTTACGGCTTATTAGCTAGGGTTTATTTGTGGTATTACTGTTGGATTTGTAATTTGAATCGAATGAGTATTGTGGATAATATGGCTGATAACACTGGAGAGTTTTACTGAGCACACTGTAACTTCCATGAAGAAACCTTTCTCCATTTATCTATGATTTAGTGACCTTCTGCTCTGTGTTACCAAATTTTCTAATTTCTATAAATAGCTCTCATATCCCCTCACTTTCCAGTTGTGAAATAATGTGATGTACTGAGCTGTGAATCACATGTTATAGCAGAGTGCTGTGTAATCAGCTGGCGGGGGAGTTTCTTGACTCAGTTCTGTCTGAGAAGAAAGAATTGCACAGTTTGTCCCTTTTTTAGTTGAAAAATAATATATGGCTGCTGGAGTGCTGCTTTCTCAGTCCAAATGTATACATACCTCAGTTTATAAAATGTACAACTTTTAGTCTATGTTTACTAGCATAGAAGAGGTTTCTCCTAAAGAGAAGCAATAATTTCACTCTTGCAATGATGAGTTCCGAGGGCTAACCAGAGCAGTCTGCCCTAGGCACCGAAATGCCCACAGGAACCTAGCCTTTGAAATGCTTTTTTCTTTTAAATCTCCCCTTTCATTTTGTTTCTCTTCTAGTGTCTTTTTTCAGAGATAAATTAGAGAACTTCATCTTTTGCCATTGGAAATGGTCATTAATTCGATCTTACTTTATATTTTTGTTGGAAGTAAGTATGTTGCTGTGGCTAATTAGTACTTAGGTTAGGGTTCTGAACCAGACTCTCTTGAATTATTCAAGACGAAGTACTTCATGCTGCTAAACTACAGTATGTCTTTTATAAATGCCGTATTTTAAGTCTCTGTCCTATTCTGGTGTATATAAATTCTCTCTGACGTTCTTTTTTTTGTCATATCAATCCTTTTCTTTTTGGAGGTTTTGCCGTTAAAAGTAACTAGGATCAGCGTACATGCCAAACCAGAATTTTGTGGACAATAATAATGCATGTTTTTATAGAGCAATGGTTTTTATGTAACTGGAGCCTGATGGGGTGAAACAACAGAATGCTCTTTCCAGGATCCGTGCAATTTTTTAATGAAGAACTCCCAAATGTTTTAGGAAATAAGGTAGATAGATAGAAAAAAGCGTATGATTCAGAAAGGCTGTGAAATATGTAACTCGCTGTACTGTCTGACAGAAGAAGGAGAGGCAGTGAAAGTGTCATCTTGTGAGTCTCATCAACATGCATTTTCTAGGTTTAACCAGGATTTAAGGGCAGACTCTGTGCATCCACTAGTAAATTCTTTTCCAGCATCCTAGTGTGGCAGTCTGCAAATGCACAAGCCAGTATTCTTGGAAAGCTTTGTACAGCATCGAAGGACAACTGTGCTTACACCCTGAATTTCTGTGTTCACCATTCCTGAAAGGACAGACAACCAAATCATTACTTAGTATATAAAATTTAGGAGTTATTATTTATGAACATACTATACTTTTTGCACAGTACTTTAAGCTAGATTAACGTACCTAATAGGTGATGGAATGTGAAAGCCCTTTTGTGTTATTTATGAAAATACTATACTTTTTGCGCAGTACTTTAAGCTTGATTAACGTACATAATAGGTGATGGAATGTGAAAGCCCTTTTGTATTTTTCTAGACGTACTTTTACCAGTTTTTTTGCTGTTTTATGTAGTGTGCTCTTACGGAATCTCTTTCCAAATTTTACTTACAACATCTGTATTAGTGCATATATGCTCATGTGTTCTAGCACATATGCATGTACATACTCTTTTGCATCTTTGTGGAAGATACCTAATTCCATAAAGAAGCCTGATCGTTAGTGTGTGTTGTCTGGGGTTTTTAGAATTGGAATAAACCCTAGCACAGCTGTTTGTCTAAATGAGGACTTACTGGAGGAGCCATAGCTCCCTGCTACGACTGCTGGTTGTAAACAGACCCTAAACTATCATGTAGTAAGCATCCACATAGTTGCATATCATCCTTTGTTGAGCTTATCAGACCAGAACTGCATTTGCTTTGCTTTATTTAAGTTATATAGTTCTTAATAGTGCTAAGTCTATTACTGGTAGTAATCGACTTGGTACATTCAAAGCCAAAATCCATTCAGTGTGAGACACCAGCACATAAAGTAATCTCGTGTCTTTCTGTAGAATTCTTTTTTCACTAAGCAATTCAGTTAGGTCGAACCCTTACTTCCTGGAACTTTACCTGCAAAATTGCTCTATGCAGCTTTGTCTATAATAGCAAAGATAATTCTTAGTTAGAACAGCTATAGATACAATTTTGAAAGGTTCTGTATCTTACAGAGGACAGCAGCTCGCCTCCAAGTGTCTTACTCCATCAAATGTACTGCATTGTATAAACAACTAGTCTGTTGGCTGACATCTCAACAGATTTTCAGATGGATATCAATTAGCTATAGACACCCTTTTTCAGCTTATGATCTGAACTGGTGACATTACTGCTGCTAAGAACTGACCACCACTGGCTCTGAGTTAAGATCAGAGTTTATATTTATTCCTGTCCATCCAAATTATTAAACTCTGATGATATTGGAAAAGGCTAAAGAATCAACAAGTCAGTACAATGGTATTACTTTGACCATTGTTTCCCTTATACGTAAGCTTAGAGGGTCTATAATGCTGGTATCTATAGCTGAGCTAGTCAGTCCTGTTCTTGGCTTGTAGTCCTTCATTCTGAATTTTTTTGGTCCTCTTCTAATGCTATAATAAAAATTCACAAATAACATAGGTAAAGACACTACGTGAAGCTGCGGTATTAATTTCTGTAATGGAATTTTCATACTTTCAGAATTATTTGTCAAGCAATAAGTCATGTTTTGTTTCTCAATGTTCTGTCTCTTTTTTACAATTTCTGCTCATTCAGCAGATAGAATGAGCTGCCCAGGATGTTGCAGTACTTTTAAGTTTCCTACATTAAGCCTTCATGTGCTTGATTTAGGAAAAATAACTTTGGTTTTCTACCATCACATCTGCATTGTTTTGCGTTTGTCAACTTTTAACTTTGTTAGATGTCCTTTAGCTGTCCAGTTAAATCTCATCACAATCCTGTCTTTGAAAGCTGCTGAATATACTCTTTATTCCTTCATCTGGATTATTAAAAGGTCTTTTATTCTTTTCATGTGCAAGTACACACTCTCCAATCTTTCTTACTTTCTATTTTCAGAAGCTTTTAAAATGAAAATAGAACTAGAATCTTTGTCTTTTTATACAAATGATCTCACAAAATGCTATCCTTATGGTGACAAACATTTTTCAATGATGTGATTTTGACTAGAAGCGTATTCCCTCTTTCAAAGCTTAGAATAAGAGTCTGGAGTGCAAAAATACGAAGAAAGCTATGGAATCTGTTCTCTTCATCATGGTATTTGTCTGTATCTGTCAGTGATCTTGGACTTAGTAAAGAGCTGTTGATTCTAGGAAAAGAAATGCATTTCTGACACACTTAAAGCAATTTTCTTCCATGAGCAGTGGTATGAGTTTTTCCAGTCTTCTTATCTTGTATGGAGTATGAAGAGCCAAAATGTAACCCCTGCCATTGTTTGCTCTTCTGATTTCCAAGAATCCAGAAATATGTATTTTTAATTACTGAAAGCAATATTGCCTGGATATATTAGTTACACAAAATATGTCTAAGCAATATTGTGTAAAGACACCCTGAATTTTGACCTTTCAGGAAACTGTA